ACTTCTTTCCTGTGAGGGTGACTGAGCACTGGAACAGGTTGCCCATGATGGTTGTGGAGTCTCCTTCCTTGGAGATATTCAAAAGCCATCTGGACACAATCCTGGGCAACATTCCCTAGGTGACCTGACTTGCGCAGGGGGGGTTGGACTAGGTGATCTCCAGAGGTGCTTTCCAACTTCAAGCATTCTGTGATTCCATGTCAGTTTTTCATGAAATTTGTAATTGGAAGAAACTTGTCCTAAGGAACACAAAAATTAGAGAACTTATGTACTAAAGTTCACATCTAAAAGTTTATAAATGATGTTGAAAAAAAAGCCCTATTTTTGCTTTGAAATTATATAGCTAAGTAGAATTCTAGAGCTAATCCACAAGAATTAATTATATTCAAAAAGAAATACAGTTTTAAAATATATAGAATTAAAAATTGAATGTTGTAGATTATGAAGTGATTCTGTCTACATATTCAAAGAGTATGTAACTGGATGTCAGAAAAGCTATGATTTGCCAGAAGGGGCTCAGTCGTCTAGTGGATTTTTAACAGGGCCACTTGCCAAGAAATCTGAATTTTCATTTCTCCTCTATTATACTGTCATACCTGATCGTCTGAGGTGCATTACTTACAGTCTGTCAGTCTTTATTACTTAAAATGGTGTCTGTGAGCACTGTGATGCCAAGTTAATATTTGTAAACCTAAAAGGAATAAAAACATTTATAATGTCTTATTAATGTCACGACAGTATTCAGATTATCCTCACTCCCAGGCATATTCCCATTACCTTATTGAAGTCACATTTACGAAATCTGCAAATACAAAGTGACATTTTATATTTCCAAAAATGTCCAGATTTTTGCATATTAACATATGTAAATTCAATTTTTTCAAGAAATTTTGATCTTTAGGAAAAATGGTATGGTTATATAGAAAGTTAAAATGCTTAGAACAGCTATACTTTAGTAATGCAACCAATAACCCAAATCTTGTATTTAGTCATTGTGTTCACATCAGAAACCTTAAATTCATTGGGAAGAATGACATGTGCGTAAGGTATTCCTGTAGGTATATATGTACCAAATCAAGGCCATTGAGTAGGTGGAGACAGAAGAGTGACTGAAGCATCACTTCTGAGTCTGCTAAGTTTAATGTAGGATTCAGAGCTACATCTCAGCAAAGTTTTGCTAAAATCATCTTGCGAAAGTACTAACGTACAGTGATTTTAAGTAAGTGTAGTAATTCAGACTTCATATTTAGCTGACTATACATCAGTTGCTCTTAAAAAGTTAAACATTTTTATTTATAATGAATGTGCAGCTCTATTTCAGAATTGGAAACGACTGGAATATCTCTGCTAGTCCTCTGTGACTATTTAGTAGAAATGTTGATCCAGAAGTGATTTGGCATTTTTGTGGTTTAATTTCTTCACGCTAGTTGAGGTTTTTTCTTTTGAATGAATGTGGCCTACCACATCATATTCTTCAATTTCCAGAAGCGATTAATAAGAAGTTTAAGGTACAAACCATCCCTGTTACATGTATTGATTCGTATATTTTTCCTTGACACTGCTTCATTTCAATATTTGTTTTCCAGATAAAGGCTTATATTCATATAATTCAGGTAAATTTTCAGCATGCGAGAAATGCTTACTGCTTACATATACATGCAAAATTTAATTTGATATTTTGTTAGTGTGCTTATGCTACCTACTGTGCAGATGCTAAATTGCTAAAATGTTCTTTGGCTTTCCCCATCTGCTTTTCAGTTACAGGTTCTTTGTTGGCTTTGTTTCTCTGTTCATAGCACCTCAGTATTGATAACAGAGCAGTATTGTAATACTATACTTGTTTCGTCTGCCTTCATTTTAGGTAAAGCTTTGGTAGGTAAACTGTAGTGTGCTCTATTAACTATACTATGCTATCTTGCTTAAGCTGTGGTAAAATGGACACTGTCATACTGCAACCGATTGAGAACTAGTGTAAATATTTTTAGAATACAGACATGGGGTAAGTGAAATACTGGCAAAATCAGTATTTATATTGATATGTGTTTTTACAATTTCATATTGCTTTAAGTCCCCAGTTAAAAATGTAGTTGTTATATCTGAGAAGTGGTATATTTGGTTTGCCTTAATTAAATATAGATAAACTCATAATGTAAAGCTTTTACAAGCTTAAATTTTATAGCTTATTTCATGGGGGACTTTTTGCAATTCCTTTAATTTTAATTATGGGAATTTCATTAAGAATTGGTACATCTAATTATCTTTCAGTTCTATTTAAGAAATGAAACACATCATATTGTGAAGAAAATAGAGCCAATACCATAGCGGAGAGAAAAAAAAAACCACTGGATTTTCTTGAGAGTAGGACTAAGAAGGCCTGTTTTCTGTTACTTCTATCCTTTCTTTCCCATGTTCTATCTCCTATACTGTCTTCTGAAATAATCCCAGATCATTGTCATGTCTCTTAGCTTCACATGAAAAGAGATCATGTTTGCTATGGGTAGTGTGGATTTATGTGTGTGTCCATTAGCCAGACATTTCAGTGTTATTTTGTTTGTTTTCTATTAGAGGTTCTGATTTGGGTCTTTCTCTTGTATCCAGCAACCATTTTCAGAGATCTGTAGGAACTTAATTAAAGTTGGTATTTCTGCTCCTCTGTCAGTGTAGATGAAATTGGCCAAAACAACAACAACAAAAATGCAGTATTTTGTGCGGGAGCATGGAGTGACAGATTAACATGCAGACAGCAGGGCTACATAAGAAATCAGTTCACATTCAAAACCCTCAGGCACAGACTGAATGAATATGAGAGAGCAAATTCTTAAGACAGTTATGAGACTGATTTTAGGGTTGCTAGTTGTTCCAGGTCTGAACATGGAACAAGGTCTTATTCCAGTTCCAGAGAACGAGGGCATAGGCATGCTTCATTACCCTTCGTTCACCCAAGGAGTTCATGAAACTTCTTAAAGTATTCCTGCATTGTAAGGGACAGGATTCCCAGCTGGGGAGCTTGATCTGCTCTCTTTTCTGTTTTTTTCCACAAGAAAAGCACAGAGAGAATTCCTGAGCCCTAGAGTCTGGCCATTTCTTCTGTGTTTAAGGTGACTCACCTTAATCTTGTTATTTCTCATTCCATCCCCATGCTAGTCAGTTCTGATAGCTATATTGGCTGGTCATACAGGCTGTTTTGCCTGTAGGATGAAGCATAGCTCAGTGTCATTATCCAACATCAGTTTTCACGTAGCAGTCAGGAGATCTGAAATTCTCCACAAATTAAAGTTGTCTTACTAGAAAATATTTATGATTGGGTACTGTTTCTTCCATAATTTGAGAATTCCAGTCATAGAATATGGTTGTGGGAAGAAATGTGTTTTTGTGAAAGTAAAGACAATTCTGTGAAATCTTCTTAAATTATTTTCATATTTTTTTTTCTGAAGTTGTAATAGCTTTCCATGGGCACCAACACTGCAGCCTGTGTAAAGTAAAAATAAACCAGCAAAGTATTTGATTCATAAAATGGAATTAAATAACTCATGTTTTCCTTCAATTTATTGCTAGCTATGAAAATAAGAAGAAAGCTAGAAAGCATATAAATTCTTCACACATTCTTTACACCGGGAATACACTGAATTAAAGCGTTTTTTGTGGTTTACAATATGGAGTCTATTTTGCCTGCAGTCTGTAAGTGACACTAACCATTAATCCTGGTGGAAGGCGCTCAAAAGTCAATGTTTACCATCTGTTACCGTCCAGTTACCAGAAAACATGGCAATATTAGCCCTTAGTAGAGTGCTTTGTTAATAAACTACATTCCAGTACCCTGGCAATGAGACTTAATTAATACCATTCCTTATGTTTAAAGCCCATCAAAGACAAAGTTAATTACATACAAACTATAGGCATTGATGCATTTATTTGTTGCACCCACTGTCCCAGGTGTTACTGCTCAAATTCTTGTATTAAATTTTGAATTTATATTGGAAAGGATTTCATTTCCTTGCTGTTATATGTACCATATTTTATAACATACTTGTCAAACACTTTAAGAGATGCATAAAAATACTAAATAACAGCTTCATTAGCAGTATTGCTTTGGCGTAATTTGTTTGTGAGAGGCTTCATTGTCACATTTCCCAGATAAATTATGAATTGTTCTCTCTTTGTTTCATTGACAATGGTTCAGATTACTTAGATAATGAAACAGTATTTTTACGAGAGATGGTTAAGGACGGCCTGAAGGCTGTATCTTCAAATTTACATTGTCAATACACTGAAAAGACAATTAGCATTTAGAATGAATATAGAGCAGATGAAATTACTCTTGCAAAATTTACAAGAAATCTTAAAATAAGATGCCAACATTTATACTTGCATTTTGAATGCTGAATTCAATAACGGATGACCTATGGACCTTCTAATCTGTTCCACTTCTGAAGTTAATGGAAGACATTTTAAATAAAATTAATTGGATTACTTTGCAGAAGTTACATATTCCAGGCAGTGCTTCATGACATTACATATTTAATAGACATGCTTTCCTTCCGCTGTCCTTCCTGAAAACATTGATTTCTAAAGATAAAATCCAGTAATTAATCTTAATTTTTTTAAACTTCTTAACCAGCCTTCACAGTTATATTTAAAAATAGATGAAATATTACCTAAACATGATTATTTTTCAGTTGTTTTGAGTCTGTTAATAGTTAGATTTTTGCCTAAGATAGTCTGTGCTTGAGGAGATTGAAGAGGTGATCTAGCTTGAACAAGCTTCATGTCTCTTGTCTGCACAGAGAAAAAGTTTTTGTACTGAAGGGATGTCAGCTGTTGCAAGAGACTGTCCTCTTTGCAGCAGCAGGAGCAGCTGGAGAAGGCTCTGAAATCTGCTTCTTCTCTTGACTCTACTCTTTCTCTACTGCCATCCTTAGGGCAAGTCTTGATCCGGGGCCATTTGCTTTTCCAGTGCCCCACCTCTTCCCTGCAGCTTAAGCTGGGGAAGCAAAGGGGATCGAAACAAAGACAGGGGCCTGTATATGGGAAGGGGAAAGGTCCTGGAAGTTGATTTGAAGTTGAGGTATCAGGAGATTCTGGGAAAAGTGAATGGGGGGTTGAGAGGAGAGAGACCCTTCTCCCCTATACTAGTTGTCCACTGATACTTCTTACTTTTCTCCCAGAAATACTCTGCAACTACTACAGCATGTAATTTTACCTGTGTGGGTGGGAAGTCTTGAGTCTGTGACAACAGCTGGCTATTTTCATCCTCAGAAATGCAAATCTTTTCTCCAGGATGCAGAACATAATATTCTAATAATAACTTTAAGCTAGATCTACTTAGCCATAAATATAAACATAAATAAAGGAACCTTAATTGTAATTAATTCATTCATGAATAAGGATGAATTAGACAATCAATGAATTGCATTCATTCAAATCATGGTTGATACAACCCATTCCAAGCATCCGTGTGATGAGCATCAGCAAACTGCCCAGTTGCCCTCATGTTCCCTTTCCATAATCCTCTCTCCCCAGTGGAAGCTCGAGCGATGCTGGTGCTCGAGCAGCAGCAGACCACTCTCAGATGTGTAGCAGGTTATCCAAGAGGCCAGAACAGCTCTTTCAGCACTCCTTTTGGCAGCTTCTGCCTTTTAGATTCCAGCCAAATCCCAGCCAAACTCACTAGCTTGTATGTCCATGCTCCAGTAGAAGGTTCTCTGCTAAAAAGAGCAGGAGAAACAGCATCACGGGTGGAGTAGATGCTCTTTCTTTGAGAAGCAAGAGAGATTTTTGTTAGGCCTGTGTACTACTATAATTAAGAAAATAATCCGATTGAATATTGTCTTCAAGTCAGACTTCACTGCTTTTTAAAAATTATCCTGATTCTCAGAAAGTCTGTTAAGATGATGAAACCTTTTCTTTCACTCTTGCACTCATCTTCTAGGTCTTCTCTAGTGCTGATTTTAATCATTTGCTTGTAATTTCATATTTTAATCAAATAGCTTGGATTTAAAGAAAAAAGTCCTCACAAAATTTAGGCTAGGAATCATTCTGTGCCAGTCACCAAGACAGAAGCTTAATCCTACTTTGTCCTGCACTCCTTTAGAGTTTACTCACAGTTTTAACCTCTATTTTTTCTATGTGTTTTTCAGAAAGGTAAATTATCCCTATGGTAACCATCAAAATTCTTGCACATGATTGAAGGTTTGGTGACAATTAGATTAAATCTCCTAGTTACTAGTTGCCTATTTTTAGATGGCCAGAGAATTAGAGTAGACAGACCATGTTACTGAAAAACAGGGATTTTCACAGTCTGAAACAAGTAAATGAATAATTATCATTCACTTATTGGCATGCCATTGCTTAATCTTGACATCAGCAATCAAACGCACCCTATCTGCTGTTTAAAAGATACCAAGGACAGAGATAAGTAAAATTAAGCCAAACACAGACTAACACGTATATTTGTCGTATGTGCCCAACATTTTAGCTCTAATTGTGGACTTGGAATCTGCTTTTGCCAACTAAGCTCTAGCTATTTTAACAGGTTTACACCTGTAGTAGCATTTAATAGCTTGTTTCCTCTGAAGTATCCTAGAGAGATTTTGTTTTGCAGGACGTGTGTGTGAAGCTGCCTGTTCCTAATAATGCTAAAGAAACTACTACATCCATCTAACATGATCACAGTAATTCATTTTTCTGATGTTCACAGATTTTTAGGGGGGGTGTGTGTGTCTAATACATGAACGCTCGGAAGATGAATAGTATAATGTGTATTTCTGTATGGAATGCACACAAAGTATATTTAACTATTTCATTAAAAAAAGATTGTAGAGCTGTATTTCACTATGTCATTATATATAATATTAGGCATTGAGGTGAAAATAGTTGCTACCTTTGCAATAATAAAACAATAAATTTCCTTATATTTATGTATTAATGCTTCATTGTTGAGTATGAAATCCTTACCATCTATTTATGTACTATTGTGTGAGAGTAGTTCTGACATACAGGTAAATAACAGTGATATATTGTGTTTTTTTCTGGCAGGGTCCAAAAGAATCAGCGATAGTGAAGTCTCTGACTATGACTGTGATGATGGAATTGGTGTTGTTTCAGGTATTACTTTCTAAACTTACTCCTCTGTACTCAGTAGAAATCTTTCTTATTTATAATTTATTATTATGAATTTCAGAATATTTTTCTGATAAAAAGAAATGGATTCTAAGTGCATATTTTTCTAACAGACACAAAATAAATATGATTGATAATGCATGTTTAACCACACAAAAAGACCAACAAAGGGAAAAATCAATGTATGAATTTCTTTGTTGCTTTTATTTAATGATAAAAATAGCATAAAAGTGTTTTTTATATGAAATGGTAGGCAAATTCTTCAATTATTGACTTAGTCATTTGGATTTTATGTATCCATGAGAACTCTGTGGTGAAGTAATAACACCACCGAAGATATGAAACCTGCACATTTAAGGCAGGAAGGGTGATGTCTTAACAGATCATCTGTTCTTATTAAGAAGTGTTTGAATTGGGAGCTTGATGAGTATTTAAAGTAGTAGCTGTCTTGTAAAAGATGTAGTATTCCTATTCTTCTTGTGAGAGAAAAGAGTATAATGTAATCAAAACCAAAACCAATAAAATCAGAGAATCATTTGCTTTCCCTGGCGACAAAAGAAAATATATGTCAGCTTTAAATCTGTGCTAGAGGACACTGGTACCAGTGTAAGGTTGGCAGCACAGGCTCAGTGTGGGCTAATTTAGCCTCTTGCTCTCCTGAGGTCTGTTGACCACTCTGAGCAGCCTGTGTTTTACACTGCTACTGTTTCCTTTAGGGCAGGCCTACCTAACGTATGGGAGTATCTTACTCAGCATATGTGGAGCAGTACGTGCTGCTTGGTCTGTCCTGCAGCTGTAAGGCAGCGGTCAGCTGGGCTATCAAAACATACGTTTTTGTAACACAGCCACCTGTCAGCATATGTATAGCTTTAATTTGGGTGTAGCACATGCTGATGGAAAGATATATAGGAACATGAGCCAGAGGGGTTGTACTAGAGCTGAGGCTGAGGGTGGGGAAAGAAAGGAGATAGAAAGAGGCAATTGTGGGTATTTGTAAGGTGGGATGTAACCACATATTAATAAATCCAAATCTTTAATGAGCTACCTACTCACTTGAGTTTGCACAGTCCTGTTTTAAAAACTGATACCAATCTGAGCTTGGATGCATTTCCATGTTGTCTGAGTCAGACAGTTTTGTATTTCTAGATATTTCACGGTTTTCTCTTACGCTTTGTTTAATTTTCGACCCTGTCGCGGACGGAGTGAGGAGAAGTGATGCACTTCACTCAGTAGAGAGAAGCAGCAATATGTTCTATAGATTTAACAGAACACAACTGTGAATAAGACAGTGACTTAACAAGGGTTGAATGGCATGGTTCACCCAGGTTATTCAGTGCTTGAAGGACAGGGTCAGGTGAAAGTATCAAGGAGACCCTCCCATTGAGTCATGAGGTTCAGAAAGGACCCAGGGGATCCAGTCCTAGTCCCAGCCTTATTCAACAGTTTATGTCTAAGGATACACACTCATACAGCAAGGAGACCCTCCCATTGTGTCATGAAGTTCAGAAAGGACCCTCCAGATGGGTCCAGTCGTAGTCCCAGACTTGTCAGTGGTTTGTGTTTGAGGATTATATACACAGTCACACAATCACTGAGAGACGTAACCAAGCAAAGTTTGCAAAGTAGATGTCAGGGAGACCGGACTTAGTCTAAGGTTTATGCCTAAGGTTTATGCCTAGGATTTATATCTAAGGTTTATGTCTAAGGATGATGTGTACAATTAATCAGAGAGGTAACAAAGTTACAAAGTTTTAGCATGCTATCAGTGTCACTTACCGAGGGTCTCTTGCGGGTAAGGAATCTCTTGACCTCAAGGAGCAACCTTGAGAGGCGTCCATACTCAAGAGGAGATTCTGCAGTGCAGCCTGCTGCCGTGCAGGAGAGCTCAGTGGTCTCTGGACCACCCCCTATTTATGGGGGATAAGATGATTAACTCATAGTCATATTAGCATACTAGACGATACTCCATTAACCTCCATCCAGGTGCATTTGCGTACTAGACAAGTTTTAGTTGGTGCATGCTTAGTTAGCCCCTTTCCAGGTGCTGTTTACGAGGAGGTGATGTTTAGGTTGAGGGGGAAGAAGAGCACCGTTTCAAGGTGATGTTCAGGCTGAGGGGGAAGAGCAGCACGTGGAGAGCGGAAGGACTGCAACGTCACAGCCCCTGCCTCCTTACCGTAGGACTTGTGCGTATTGTGAGAATCGATTTTTAATCAGCATATAAACTTTATCAATCAGCACAATATTAAACACACTTTCTGGTACAAACAGGACAAGTGGTCATATTGTTAACATGTTTATTGGCTGTGGTTCACTGTAAGTCTCCTCTTACCATATCTAGAAAGCAAGCATTTTTAAGCCCAAGATGTCCTCATTAATATTAGGAAAAATCTAGCCTTGTTGATTCTCCATGGTGAAAGTTATTCTGTCCCAAAGGAATATATTTTTTCTCTTTTCTGCATGAACATTCAGATTTTTGTTAATCTCTGCTCAAATTTTGCTATACGCTAAGTTTCTAACAGTTTTACCAGAAAATAAATGAGTGCTGTGGCTGCAAGACCACTAAATAATCTATCTTCCTTAAATCTTTTGTCTTCAAACACTAATAGAGTCAGTTTTCAGATTAATACCTTAATTGAGGAGATATTTAGGAAAACTTAGCGCAGTCTCATATTGCCACTGCCTGTTTCTTTTATGGCAGGAAGAAGACAGGAAGGATATGTAGCCAGGGTAGCACAAAGCATTGGAATCAGAGAGGCTGTGATTCTTAAAAGTCCCTTTGTTATTACTGTTCTTTCAGTCTAAGGTTGGTTAGCTTTCAGGATATGCTTAATAGTAAGTAAGGCTTTCAGATTTCCTGTCTTCCCGAAGGGAAGGGCTTTTATATTCCTGTTGGACAGTCTAATTAGAAATGCACCAGCTCAACTCTGGAGTTTCCTAAAAAAGGAAAAAAAGAAAATTTGATAGATATTTGTCTAAAGTACTTAGTGTGGTGACATTTTGAAACTGAAATCTTTGTATTGTCCTTGAAAAAGCTTTTGGAGAAGCTTTACCAGGTGTTCTAACATCAGTGGGATTCCTGCAAAACAGCTGGATTTACAATATTGTGAATTTATTTGCTTCATACTATATTTGAAACACATTAGCCTCTTAAATTATTCCTCTATCTTTTTGAAGGTTGATTTTTAAATAAAGATTATAGCTCATTTACCTCTAAGTTTCTTTTCTCAGGCACCTATGACATATGTTTTTCCTAATGCAAATTAAGATGCAGTATGTTGAATGGCTATATATCCTACTAGATTATGGAAATGTCTTTTTTTCTATCTTTCTCCTTTGAAAGTGCTTCTTAAAAATTGATTTTTCATTATTTATTTACTTTACCTATTTTTTTAAGTGATTATATGAAGACTACAAATGTGGTCATTAAAGCCTGCTTTATGCTAGATACCATTTTACAGGAAATGAATTGTTTAACTCCTGTTTTGACAACTGCTTGTAAAATTTGTGAGTTTTTATAGTTCTGAGAATGAGTCTACTTCCCTTACCTGAGTTGGTAATGTACCTAAACTTGTTTCTGTAGTACCTTTTTGCTTTTGGATTTCTTCTGACAATTCCACTGCCTTAGTTGCATTGTAATTCAGGCTGGCTTTGTGGGGGTAGGAAAGTTTGATGTTCTTTCAGTTTTGAAAAATGTATTTATTTCTTTTATTTTTTGTGCAGCTGTCAGTATATTTACCTTTTTTTTAATTTATCTTTGTTGTCTTGTCTTACTTACCACCCACATCCTTCTCTTAGTTAAAGATCTATTCAGTTTGCAAACTCGTCACAGTGTGGTCCTGATTTAAATATTTACCTTCTCTGTATTAAGAGTAATACTTCAGCCATTTGTCTCTCTGTTTTCTTTCTTTCTTACTTATGCAAGTTCTTTCATTTTATATTGTCAGATTTTATTTAACATGACACTTTGTTTTTCTGTCTTTCCTTCTGCAATATAAATACTATATCACATCAAATATATTTGCTAATATCTGTCAAATACTCTCTGTGATCCTTTCCACAAAATTCTTGCTATTCAAAGTATTGCACATGCAAACTAAAGACCAGAAACCTTTAATAAGAGCAAGAATTTTCTTCTAGTTCTTCTTTTGTTTATTTTTATTCAAAACAATGTATACACCTAAGAAAATCCATGGACCTTGCTTGATCTTATTATGCATTTATTCATTTTTCATTAAAAGATAAATACTGTCTTGCATGTGGATATTCCTAATCGTAGTTGCAATTTATCTCTTTGTCCACAGCTCCTTTTCGTGTAGTTTCTCTAGTATTGGTCCCATAAGGTCAAATGACTTAATCTTTGGACAAGCCAGTGATAGACAGAAATACAAAAGGGAAGATCTTAAAACAGTTCTTAGATGATATTTGCTGAAACAGAAAGCACTTTGTAAGCTCTAGTTCCTTGTGTAATTGTCTAACTAATTTTTAGTATATCTGCAGCTGCTGTTTCTTATTGCTAAGGCAATTTGATCCACCAGACTTCAATTGCTTTTTCCTGACTATGCGTGAATTTTACACCAGCTACTATCAGAAAGAGTTATAACATAACGATTGTGCATTTAAAACAACATGTAAAAGTGATTTTTGTCAAGATTTTGAAAGAACTTTCTTCACCTGCAATACGCAATCATTTCATGTTGGAATCTAAAAATACTAGTTCAGAATCTCTATAACATCTCACTGCTGCTGGATTTGATGTTAGTGCAGGATAGCAGAAGGAGAAATATTTGTAGCTCTTTATCTTTTACATTACCTTTAAGTGGTTTAAAGTAGTCATTGTGCTGCCCTGAACAATATCCTTTGGCCCTAAAGCTGTCTGTCATCAGCAGTACTGTGCTGGAGCATGTTACCTTCCTCACTTGCTCCTTTGGATGCTCTTATGTGCTTATCAATAACAGTGGTACAATGTTGCTATATTGATTTTA